GGCTCTGAGGGCCAGAGTTGTGTTGCAACTATTCGACTCTACCATTGTAGGGAGAAAGAAGCCTAGATAACCCATAAGCCAACAGATGTGGCTGTGCGCCAATAAAACTTTATAAACATTTAAATTTGAATTTAATGTAATTATCATGTGTCATGAAATATCCTCCTTTTAATTTTTTCAACTGTTTGAGAATATAAAACCATTCTTAACTCAGCTCACAGGCTGCCCACGCAGCTGTGCAGCTTGGCCTGTGGGCAATAGTTCGCCAAAGGCCAGTTGAAGGTGCAGCGTTTCAGGGCCCTTTATGTTACGAGTGGGCATAGCATCCAGAAGGACACACAAGGAACTGACCATTGCAGTGGTGAACGGGTGACAGAGCTGGAAGAAGGACCTGTTTTTCAGTGTACTATTTGAATTGTTTACTCTATGCTTCTGTTGCCATTTTAAAAATTCACGTTTCCTTTTCTGTAAGCCCCTTCAGGAATGATAACCGCAGCACACCTGGTCTGAGCAGACTGCCACCTGTCTAGATTCTGGAGGGCTCTGTTGTTAGTTCTTCAGGGGCGCCCATGTAGTGGGTCTCCAGCCAGGGGTAATCACTCAAATGTTACAAAACTAGGGGAACTGGATGTTTGTTTGGGTTAGAGTGGTAAGTTCTGTCCTTCGTGCCAACAGGAGAATGAAATTCATATTGGCACAAATTTCATTCAGGAAGAACATGAATGTCAGGGAACTTGGTGGAACTAAGAAAACAAACAGTACAAATCATTTCATTGAGGTAACATTTCTTGAGGGTCTATTGTGTGCCAGGCACTTGCATTGAAGGTGCCAAGTGGATATGAATATATAGAGGAAATTACAGTATAAGAAAGAGGATGATTGTACCTGGAAAATATTAGAGGGCTGTTATGTGCTGTGTTAAGTACAGGGAGCTTGATGATCATGACTAAAGTTAAAATATACAAATGTGGGAAAAAGTTAGCATAGGGGGAAATCTAAGAGTCTGAGAACTGAATTCTCCTGTTTTTTAAACACCAGAGTAACAGGGCCTTAATGGAAAACTAGATACAAAACTATCACAAAAATAAGAGAATTTCAGTCTAGAACAATAGTTGTATACATTTTGAAGAACTTTTCGATCCACTTACTGTGCAACATGCAGAAACATATAGAATTATACATAATTCATGTGTATAAATATATACACATATATACACATTGAAGTAAACATACCTCGCCTCCATGCACAACTATAGCAAAAAATATAAGTAGACTAGAAAACAAATATCACCTAGAATTGTCAGAAAATCAAACAGTGTGGAAATCCTACAACCAAAATGGTTAGGTGGAAGATGGGGGGGAGCCGTCGTGTGGGATAAAAAATGGGAGAGATACCTTGGGAGCAAGGAATCCCAGCCCCAGTCCAACCACCCAGCCCAGGGTTCCAGCACCAGGAAGGTAGGTCCCCATATCTTATAGTTGTAAAAACCTATGGGGGTTGGGATGGTGGGAGAAACTGCGGGATTCTCAAGAGACTCCTCTTAAATGGCCCACAGTGGACTTAGGACTCCTCCAGACCTACTCCCTTGGGATTCAACACCAGGGCAACATCTGGGAGGGCACTAGTGGCATATGGGGAGAAAGTAAGGTGCAAGTGCTGGGAGACAAAACTCCAGAGGCCAGACAGTAGCGTTGTCCCCTCTGCAAGTTCTCCCCCACACAGAGCAACAGAAATGTGACGTGGGTTGCCCTGCCCTGGTGATTACCTAAGGCTCCACCCCATATAATTTAACAGGTGCACTTTTCTACAATAGGCCACACTAGTGAGATAGCAGCTCTACCTCATACACAGAAACAAACACAGGAAGGCTGTCGAAATGAGGAGACAAAGAAACATGGCCCACATGAAAGAACAGAACAAAGTTCCAGAAAAAGAACTAAATGAAATAGAGATAAGCAACCTATCAGATGCACAGTTCAAGACACTGGTTATCAGCATGCTCCAGGAACTCACTGGGTACTTCAATGGCATAAAAAAGACCCAGGCAGAAATGAAGGCTGCATTAGTGGAATAAAGAAAAACCTACAGGGAACCAACAGTGGAGGGGATGAAGCTGAAAATCAAATCAATGATTTGGAACAAAGGATGGAAAAAACATTCAATCGGTACGGCAGGAAGAGAAAAGAATGTTTTTTTAAAAAGCAAGCATAGGCTTAGGAACCTCTGGGACATCTTTAAATGTACCAACATCCGAACCATAGGGGTGCCAGAAGAAGAAGAGGAAGGGCAAGAAATTGAAAACTCACCTAATTTGGTGAAGGAAATAGACACACAAGTCCAGGAAGCACAAAGAGTCCCAAACAAGTTGGACCCAAAGAGGACCACACCAAGACACATTGTAATTAAAATGCCAAAGGTTAAAGATAAAGAGAAGATATGAAAAGCAGCAAGAGAAAAGCAGAGAGTTGCCTGCAAAGGAGCTCCCATAAGACTATCAGCTGATTTCTCAAAAGAAGCTTTACAGGCTAGAAGGGACTGGCGAGGAGTATTCAAAGTGATGAAAAGCAAGGACCTACAACCAAGGTTACTGTATCCAGCAAAGCTATCATTTAGAATTGAAGGGCAGATAAAGTGCTTCCCAGACAAGGTAAAACTAAAGGAGTTCATTATTACCAAGCCATTATTACATGAAATGAGAAAGGTACTTATTTAATAAAAACAAGATCAAAACAATGAACAATAAAATGGCAATAATCTCACAACTATCGATAATTGAATCCAAATAACAAACTAAGCCAACAACCAGAACTGGAACAGAATCATAGATATGGAGATCATTTGGAGGGTTATCAGTTGGGAGGGGGCAGGGAGAAAATGGGGGGAAAGGTGCATCGATTGAAGAAACACTAATTAGTAGGTACAAAATAGACAGGGGGATGTTATGAACAGTGTAGGAAATGGAATAGCCAAAGAACTTATATGCATGACCCAAGGACATGAACTAGGGGGTAATGCTGCAGGGAAGGGGGTTCTGGTTGGAAGGGAGCAAATGGGAAAATGCAACAACTGTAACAGCATAATCAATAAAATATATTTGAAAGAAAATTAAATAAATAAATACACATTGAATATGTATATAACAATTCACTACACATAATAAAACTTGAATTTTCCAAGTCCCCAAATAACTTGTGAGTATGAGTGAGGGCCCATTAATAACAACTTTTACTGGTTTATTCCTCAGGCCTTTCAGCTTCCTACTAGAGTCCTGACAAGTATTTCAGGAGGGCTTTGGGATCTCCTTGTATTTGTTCATAATCCAGTCTGTTTGGCCACTTATTCTGTTACTTTCTGTGTGCATTGGAGGGAACAGTGCCTAACCTGTGGTCACAGCTCCTCTGATGGATGTTCTCATGGGTTATGGTGACACCGCAGCAGCCACTGCTATTTCACAATTGCCCCAGAATGGCCCTGAGTCCTGTTGGGGTCAAAGTTCCACTGTGACATGTGGCATAGTTGCTGGAGGGTGAGGGTGGAGTTGAAATGAGCTCTCTCTTCTGCTCATTGTGTTCTGTTAGAAAGGTCTTTCTCATACTTCAATGTGTTTAAGCCTCATTTTTCTTTTTAACTTTCTCCCTTTTCATACCAGTGTGGCAAGAAAGCCTATTGTGGCTTTGATTTGGGGTGAAGGTCACGGTTCCTGGCTCCCTCTGACTTTAGAATGAGTTGTCTGCCAATAAGCCCTTTGGCTTACTGGACAGTAGACATTGGTAGGACCATGCCATGCTATTGGTTCACCACTATGGACCCAGATGTGCCTGCATTCCCACAGTGGACACAGTTTGTATCCTTTCACAGGAGATTCTCTCTTTTTATAAATTCTTCAGCCTCTCTGGTGTCTTCTCATCAATTCAGATGTGCCCTAGTACTGCCTATCACAATGAAATATCTACAGGTACGGTAGATCTTACAATTGTTTAATTAGGCAGTTGAATGTTGTCATTAAAAATATGGGTTCTTCAATATCAATGAACAGACAAAACAGAAACAGACTCATAGATACAGAGAACAGACTGACAGTAGCCAGAAGGGTGGGGGTTTGGGAGACTGGGTGAAAAAGATGAAGAGCTTGAGAAGTACAGATTGGTAGTTGCTAAATAGTCATGTGACTCTAAAGCACAGCATAGGGGATATAGTCAATAATATTGTAATAACCGGATGGTGTCAGTTGGGTAATGGAAATATCAGGGGAAATGATTTGTGAAGAATATGATTGTCTAAGTATATGTTCCAATGCTATATCTGAAACTAATACAAAATAATATTGAATGTAAACTGTAGTTGAAAAACATTTAAAAGTAAAATAAACACTGGCCATGAAACCACAGCCTCCCTCAGCTGCTTCCCTATCTTGACTCCTTCCCGCACCTGACCTCTTTATTAGAGCATCCTAATCTTCATTTTCATCAACAGGTTTGAGTACAATATGTAATTATCTGCATATTTGTGTGATTATTTTCTAATGTCTCTATTCCTCATTAAGCTTGATGTCATAGATGGTGGGTGCTTTTTTCCTTTCATCATTTTTATCTCCAAACATCCAGTACAGAGCTTAGTGCTAAATAAGTCCTCAACAAATGTATTTCGAAGTCATGAATCAATGAACCAATGTAGCAAACATCATGTGGTGGACTGCCTCCTCAGCAGCCACAATGCATCTGCTACCCACCTCTGCTTGAATTGGACCATTTTGGTGGGTGAGAGAGAAAGAGATATGAATAGTAGGAATGTTCTAAGGGAACAAATCTTAGTCCAATGAAACCCCCCTATATTCTCTTTCTGAGCAGAAAATGTAAAAAGTTATATATTTGTAAATAAAGTGTTTTCTTTGTAGAGATAGGATAAAAAGGTTTGCAAATCGCCCTCAGAAAACAGCCTTGGAAAAGAGGTTCTGATAGCACATATTTTTATTATATGACTTTTCAAATTACTTCTTCAGGGAGGTAGAAGACATATTGAAAAGACCAAAAGAAGGAAGGAAAGAAGACCTAGAGATAGAACTAAAAGTGAACACTACTTCTCTTGGGTTCTTGGATTAATTCTGTACATCTCCTCAGGATGAAAGTTCAGACATTTTGGTGAGTATTACCATTATTTTTCTGTTTATCATAACTTCTTTTTATCCCAGATAAGTAAATGGCCAAGGTAGACCAAGAGAGTGAAAATGAAAATCCTTTAAATTTTCTCTAAAAGGCAAAGATAAAGATGTTGGAGAAATACTTCCTGAATTTTTGATTTGCTGATATAGTGTCCACTCAACTTAAGAAAATTCCAGTAGAAAGTGGTCTTAAATTACTGTTGTGTCTGTGCAAAAAACTGTTCAACTTTAGAATGAAATTTAAGATATTAAATAATTTATTCAAGATCTTTATATTTGTTTCTGTTTCTTCTATATGTAAAAGAAATAAAGATAACCAAAATGTCATCATGCTTTGCCCAAATCTCCCAAGTGTTGAAATTTAAATGAGAACATATGATGTTTTCCTAGATGAATCAGAGAGTGTCTCTTCCAAAACATATACTCTGGGCACATATAAGTGCAAATTAGGTGTAAAAAGAATAAATATTGACAGCAAATATATACAGAAAGATCTTAGCAGATGTCAAAAGCATTCACTGTTCTGTAAACTAGTTCACACTCTCCCTCCATCTCTCTCTTAACTATCTTCCCCCTCTTCCCTAAACTCTCTATTTATTTATTTGCCTTTCAGGGTGTTTTTTTGAAGACCACGATAACAAAGGTGCATTCTCGAATAGAAAAGTTTGGATGGGATCAAAAATGAATCTCATCCAACACTCTCACTTACCTGCCACGGATGAATTTTCTCTTTCTGACAATTTATTCGGTAAGTTGTCAAGTCCATTTAAATTTATCAATATATACAACAAACCACAATTTGGAAATGCATGATAAAAAAGCTTAGATGATGAGTGCAACAGAGTCCAGAAAATGTTTTTGTTCCTTCTAAGCCTTCAGTAAACGTTAGCTACTATGCAAAGACAGAGGTAGATAGAACCTTGGATTCATTGATCCTAATGGTACTCTCTTTTATAGATGAGAACAGCAAGTCTTGTCCAAGGCCACGAGGCTAGATAATTAACAGAGCTGGGAGTAGAAACAAATTCCTGCTCTAGGGCTGAGTCTGCTCTTATTGCAGTATGTACTAAAGTATGAAATCATGATTCTTATGGTTTAATATTATACCTATTAAAGGCTGAGGTTACTTAGGTTATAGCTGCTCCGCAGTAGATTTTCTACCACCATTCTTCTGGTGCTGGGGGATATATGGCACAGTGCCAGGATTAGTCATTTAAACTGGTTTGAGGACAAATTGTACTAAGTTGATTCCCGTAGATCTGTAACTAGATAGTACCATAAAATCATATATTGCTCCACTTTATGCATTTATGAAAAATATCTCATTATAAACAGTTTTAATTGGGAATATCAGAAAAGAGTCATCAGGGGTAAATTTTGGATGGGTCAAGGAAGCTTTGTGACACTCTTAAAATAATTCCTTTTTGCACAATAGCCCTGTTCAGAGAGCTTGGCCCTGAATAATGTGGCTCAGCTGGTTGGGCTTCATCCCACAAAAGGGAAGGTAACCACCTTGATTCCCAGCCAGGGCACATGCCTGGTTTGTGGCTCAGTCAGTCCCCAGCTGGAGGCACGTGAGAGGCAACCAATCGATGCTTCTCTCTCACATCTATATTTCTCTCCCTCTCTTTCTCCCTCCCTTTCCCTCTCTCTAAAAATGAATGAATTAAATATTTTTTAAAAAGAGAAAGCACTTGAATGCTCCCAGTTATTCACTTGACATTAATATACGGATCATGGTAGACAGTGATAGTGAAAATGCAAACACTTGAAATTCCACAAAAATCAGTATTTGAAAGCACGATCCCCTGTTTGATTGCAGGCACCTCTGAGGGATGTTAATAGCTTATGCTATTGCATACCAGTCATTAGCATCTTAGTATATGATGGTTTATCAGGTCCTTTCTAAGGAGAGGTCATTATTTGTGTTACCTGTTTATATGTCTACCTGCCCCCCAAAAGTATAAGAGCATTTAAAGGCAACGAAGATATTGTATGAATCCTAGTTTGCACTTGATAAATAAGAATCAAGTTATAAATAATAGAAGGGAAAGAGAAAAGAGGTTAAGGAAAACAAGAGATGTTTATCAGTGACTCAGAGAGACCAAAGGCACCAGTAATTATTTATGAATTGCCACTTCTTGGACATAGTTGCTGCATCTTGTTTCTTCCATTTGTCTTTTCTTCATCCTGTGGATGCATTCAAGGCCAGTGGGCCCCCTACCTCCATGTCCTGCTACTTGACCACTTGCTCTGGCCTATCCTACAAATCCTTAAAATAATCAGTGTCTAGATATCTTTATAATTTTTGCTTTACCGATCAGAATGCACAAGATAGGACTATAGGTACATATCAGAGGCTAAGGAAAATTCCACTGAAGGTTTTTTTTCATATCAATGTAAAACTCCATTTTCTGCTCTGAAACTTTATGATTGCATGTTAAGATCTCCAAAAGAGCACAGCAGGTTGAAGGTTGACCTCAGCAGCCATGCAGTGAAAAGATGTGAGTAGGTAGAGTAACAGTGAGAAGCACCGGAAAGTGCTGAAGAAGCACTGTGACCCGTGCATCCAGCGTGGTTTTTCCCTCATCTCTCTTTTGCTGGACCACATTCTTACCCAGCTTCCTAACACTTCATTTAAGGTTTCCAAGACTAGATAGCACAGGGTGCATAAGCTGCGATGCACAGCTGTTCTCGACTGGAGCAGCTTCTTCAAATCTTCTTCTGGTTGCCACTCTTGGTAAACTAATCTGAGCCATGTGTGGCCATGGGGGCTCCTTTCCCTTTTCCCCATTAAGTTCTAGAGCCAGGGCTAAGCAATTTTCTTTTCCCCAGGCCCTCAGCCTCACTTCACTCTACGTACTTGAGCTAAGGTGTGCCAAAGTAGGGGGTGAAGACTTGCATTTTGATTTTGTCATTCCCCTTGTTCATCTTCTTCTGTGTCCTGGTGACACTGATGGATTCTGTTGAGCTCCCACCCAGGGCTTAGGATACGGGGCACCAGGGGAGACTGTGGCCCAGGGATGAGTAACCCGCAGCGCCTCTCTCACCACTCTCGGATCTTGAAATAGAGCAGAGGTTCAGAAGTGTTAACTCATGGGCTCCACTAGCCAGAGAGCTGAACTCTTTTCCAATAGTCTAACTGTGTAAGCAAAACCAGTAGTCATGTTGTTACAACAAGGGCAAGTGAAGTTTATGGTACAGCCCATGGATAGCTATCATTTCTTCCATCTAAATGATGAGCACTGATTATATACTGGGTGATGTAATAAAGCAGGAAAAGAGACAGGAGAGTTTCTAGTGGAGGGTAGACTCACAGGAAACATGCAAATAAATAAACAAGATAATATCAGGTAGTGGTAAGAGCTATCAAAACAACAAACCCGGGTGATGTCATAGTAACCCGAAGAATTGGGCTGCTCTAAATGTTGTGGTCAGACAAGGGCTCTGGGGAGTGAACAAGCTGAGCTGAGACTGAAAGACAAGCCAAGGAGAATATTCTAGGCAGAGGAAGTAGCAAGTGCAGAGGCCCAAAGTCTAGAATGGACTTGGAAGGGTCTTACCTTCTCACTCTTATTTAGGGCAGTTGACGGAGTCTAGAGAGTAGGCTCTGGACCCAGCATGTAACAGCACTTTTAAGAGGAGATTATTAGACCTGGAATTCCAGGACCATTGTCCATAAATAGTTACCCTGAAAAGCAGAGCCTGAAGCCAGGACTTGTGCGCAGGGAGTTTATGTGAGAGGTGTTCCCAAAGAGCAGAAGCAAAAGACTGGGGCTACGAGAGAGAAAGCGGGAAAACCACCGTGAGACAAGTTATGAAGATCACTGCTGTGGGCGAGGGGAGCTGGAGTCCACTGGGAGCAGCCTAAGGAGCTGTCCACTAAGGGATGGGGACTGGGGCACTTACTAACTCACCTGTGACTCCAGTTGGTTGAGGTTAGCCCCTGGGGGTGTCAGCTCCCCAGCACTTCTGGGCTGTGCTTTTGCCACTCGCGTTGGAACAAGGCCAGGTAGCTTCTGGAGGTACTAAAGGAGTTTGGGACAAAAAACCAAGAGATATGTGGCATGTTCTTGAAATGACAGGCTGTCAACATGAGGTGAGTCTGTCAACATGATCATTTGCTGAAGCTCCACGTAAAAAGAGCTAAGCCAAAAGCATGTGACACCAGATGGGTCTGTCCCACAGTATAATGGGATTTTACATCACCCCCCCCACCCTCACCCCAATCAGTTGGAATATTCAGAAGAAGGCTAAGATTGGGCGTGGGGGCAGAATTGCTCTATAGTCTGCTCTCTTAGCTGGCTCTTGTAGGAAAGAAGGAAAGAAGCTTGGACAGAATGGAATTATAAAAATGGGGCTGAGATCGCCTCATGAGGGCCTTTCATTTGTCATGCTGCCACACATCCCTGACAAATCCAGATGGGAATCTAGCTCACCAGTAACTCAATCCACACATAGGCCTCAGAATGGAAGGACATGGTGACCTAAGAGAGTTAAGTCTCCTTTCCTTTGGGAGATCCTGCAAGCCAGGAAACTTGGTCAAAGATTAATACAGTGGATCAAGAAAGACTTCTGTGGTGAATGAAGAAGGCATGATCTTTACGTAATTAGAGCATAACAAAAGCTAATCATGACAAAGTCCATAGTTTCTCATGGTTTGATGTAGTGAGTAGTTTAGGAGGTAGCATGTTAATTAAAATGTATGTGTTCTTTCAGCAAATTGTGGTTTAAGAACTCAAAAAATTACAGAATTTCAGACTAAGAAAGTAGAAAAGAATTCTAAAAATAGCACAGAATAATCAAGAGACGGTACAGTCTCTCACCAAATTCCCTCAATGCAATGTGTCCGGCTCACTTAGCTCATTGATACTGGGAGAAGTTCACTGAATGTAAGTGAAAATAAGCAATGAAACTGAAAGAAATGAAGTCTCAGAGGTGACTGAGACTCTCTGAACTTTAGTTTTTCTCCCCTATAAAGGGGGGATAATAATTACATCCATTTCCCAGCTTTTTGGGAGGACTGAATGGCTGTGTGGGAAAGTGTTCTGGAAACTTCAAGGCATCATAAAACAGTGTCATTAGTCCAGGGCTTGATATGTAGTTGTTATTATTTAAATTGTTGAAACAATAAACACCACTCTACTCATTAAAGGGCGGAAGTTCTGTTTATCTTCACGCTGTTGAATGCAAAGAATTTTCAAGGAGCCAACAAAAACTGACAGTGTGGAAATACATTTCTGGGTGCTCTCAGGAAGGAAACACATGTTCTCATTTTGGCATGATAGCATTGCTAACAACAGCTACGAAACCCATGTTTTTACATTAGCCTGTTACAGTATCTAACAGTCTTTGTGAAGCCCCATTCCAAACGAGGCCCAGCAAGTGGCAGGAGGCATGTCCTGAATAATTCTGTTCACTCAGATTCCACTTTCCTTAGCTATTTTTCATCACTCTATGCTTCTGTCAGCTCTTTATGCCTGTTTTTTCTGAGTAGCTTTATTTTTATTGGAATATGGTTCCTGCCTGTCCTTTTGCTTAAATTAAAAGAATATTTCCGGTGTTCCAGAATCAGCCAGATGTTTTAAAATACAATTAAGGGTCTTGAGATGCAGTTTTGTGGAATATTCCTGACATTTGAGTTCAGGCATTTGTTCATCTTACTGAGTTTAACTTTAGTGAATGCAGTCCTGAGTTGATGGGTGAATCAAAGCTGAAAATTTCAGGCATACCATTAGAAATGGAGTT